ATAGTAGCATATAGGTTTTTAAAGTATTCCTTTATAATGTTCTGTATCTTTCTGGTGTCTGTTGTGATATTTCCCCTTTCATCTCTGATTTTGTTGATTTGGAGGTGCTCTTTCTTTCTTTTGGTTAACTGGGCTAGCAGTCTCTCAATCCTGTTCATCTTTTCAATAAACCAGCTCTTAGATTCGTTCATTCTTTGTATTGTTTTCTTTGTTTCGATTTCATTAATTTCTGCCCTGATTTTTTTGTTATTTCGTCTTGTCTGCTGGGTTTGGGTTTCATTTGTTGTTGCTTTTCAGATGTCTTGAACCATGTAATGTTAAGTCTTTATTTGTGTTCTTTCCGATTTTTTTTTTTTTTGAGACAGGGTCTCCCAGTAGCCCTAGCTGGCCTTGAACTCCCAAGTGCTGGGATTAAAGGTGTGCGCCACCACGCCCGGCCCTTCCAGATTTTTTGATTTAGGCACTTAGAGCTATAAACTTCCCTCTTAGGACAGCTTTCAGCATGTCCCAGAGGATTTGTTGTGTTGTATTGTCCTTTTCATTTAGTTCCAGAAATACTTTTATTTCTTTCTTAATTTTTCTTTTGACCCATTCATCATTCAGGAGTGTGTTGTTTAATCTCCTTGTGTTCATGTGGTGATTAGGGCTTCTTCTGGTGTTGATTTTAAGCTTTATTGCATTGTGGTCTGATGGACTTATTTCAGTCTTTTTGTATTTGTTGAGGTTTGTTTTGTGCCCCAGTATGTGGTTGATTTAGGAGAAGGTTCCATGGGGCACTGAATAGAAAGTATATCCTTTGATGCTTGGGTGGAATACTCGGTAGATGTATGTGCTGGATAGCTTTAGTGTCAACTTGACACACCTGGTTTGAGGGAGCCTCGATTGGGGAATTGCCTCCGTTGGTCTGGCCTGTGGCCATGTCTGTGGGGCATTTTCTTGATTGTTGAGTGATGTGGCAGGGGCCAGCCCACTGTGGGTAGTGCCACCCCTGAGCAGGTGGCCCTGTGTTG